GGATTTTTTAAAATTATTTTTTAAAATAAAACTCAAGTGGAGGGTGACCCTCCAAAATAAATGTCAAGCTTTAAAATGAATAAAAGTATAGTTCAAACAATTTGATGTTCAAATTGATAATATAAGTCACCATCCATTTTCTTTGTATGGAAAATAGCAGATTGGAAAAGTCCTTTTTTTGGTTTCACAGAGAAGATAAAATTAGGGTGATAATGGCAGAATTTCTTTGGAATATTTTATTTTATATAAAAAATGATTCAAATTAGCAATAGGAAGCCATGAAGTAATGGCTGCTTCCATTCAAGTCTATAAAAATGTGAAACATTTTTAATCATCGTTGAATTTTCTCTAAATCACTGATCCAAAGTCAACAGACTTAACAAGGCAGACTTATTACTGCTTGTGATGTTTTCAGCCGTTTCAGATGGGAATTTCCCCATGTGCAGATGTGTTTTATTGGGGAAAAAAGAACAAGAATAGTTTTTTTTTGTTAATATTAATCGTTTAGATGATGTTACACTATAATTAAAATCTTGGGATCCTACCATCTAACAAAATCTAAGTCATATATCACAGTGATGTGATATGGATCTCATGAAGTTTTGGATGCAGTCAGTGTCAATTCAGCAAGACTGTGTTTCCCAAAAATGTGTCAGACGCTACAACTTTCTTAACCTAGTATAGAAATACTTCTGAGGTTTAACTTCTACTTATCAGAAATGGTGTTAGCAGCCTTTTACCTCAACCTTCTATACATTTGAAAGGCAATGATAAAAGCCATGGCAGTGTTTTGGAAAACGTATTATTATTACCAGACCAAATCTATTTTTCTTTCTCAACATACATTTGTTAATTTCTCTAGACATTTGGGGCTACAGACTGGGAGATGTTTCAGATTGGAAACAGAGTCTTCCTAGCTGTTGCTAATGGACATATGCTGTGTGAGAGAGGACCAAGCCTCTATACCATCAACTCAACTATATATGAACTTGATATGACAACCAAGATGTTCCTCAAATTCCAAGACATTGTAACATACAGGTAAGGCCTGAACTATAAACGTTTTTTGGGGGTTGAATCAATAATTATCCACATTTTTTGACTTGATTTCCTCATGTATGGCAGTGCGGTGGACTGGGAATTCTTTTCTGTTGGAGATGAGCACTTCTTAGTCGTAGCCAACTCTTATGATGGATCATCTTACTCTTTGAACAGTGTTATATACAGGTAATGATTGAAAGCTCAAACATTATGCACAGACCATAACTCACAACTTCATTTAAATACACATGCTGCAGCACTTCAGATGGGTAAACTGCATTGCGGGTGGTTAGTGAACAAGTCAGGCGTTTGTGTTGATACCACATGTACAACTTTTAAAATCTAATTTTCTGTAAAAATCTCTTAACTGCACAAAATTGGCAGACAGGCTATATGACTTCGGGAACTAGAGTCAACTCTTCCTGATTGTAAATCGTGGGAAAAAACTGGGCAAAAACCATACTGTACTGTATAGTGTACTGTATATTTCAAATATTATACAGTACATTTGGGAAGATATTACTTTTTTCTATCCCATCCTTCCTTCCACACTTTAATGTAAGAGATAAGTAAACCTATATAAAAGTCATGGTATCACTTAAAAAAAAATCTGATTTTCTGATATACAAGCCTATAGGATAAGACTTATCTGTAAATGGTGTTCAATTGTTATTTTCTCAAATATTATCAGGATAATATGGAAGCCCATTTTTACCTTGGATTAAAAAAAATTGAGAAAAGGTAATTTTTCTCAAAATGAATATCTTACAATTGAGTTACAAGAATTACAAGATATGCAAACAGAATTCTGACTGACTTTTTCGCAATTCTGAGTTTACATTTCACAATTGTTTTATTATTATTATTATTATTATTATTTGTGTTTCCATCACGGTATAAATAACAATTATAAAAAAAAAAAAAGATCTCACAATTCTGACATTTTTCTCACAACTGCGAGTTTATATCTCACAATTCGGACTTTATCGCTCACAATTCTGGCTTTTTTCTTATAATTCGGAGGGAAAAAAAGTCCAAAAAGAAATATAGTCAGAATCGCAAGAAAAAAAAATCATAATTATGAATTATTAAAAAGTGACCTTTTTATTTATTTTTATTTTATTCTGAGGAAGAAACGGGCTTCCATATGATTACAGTATAACAGTGCTATAAACTATAATGAATATTGCAGCAAATGAAGATAGATTTCTTCTTCAGTTTTATTGTTTTTGTCCCTGATAGATGGCAGGGATATGAGGGCTTTGTTCCTGTCCATCGGTTGCCTACTATTGGATGCAGTGACTGGGAGTTCTTTACCTCAGCAGAGGGTTCATACCTGATGTACTCCAGTGCCAAAGCACCTCTCTCCAAAGTCTTCAAGCTGAGGATCCACTGAGGGCACAAACAATAGTTCAGTTTTTGCTTATTTTTACCACATGCCACAGAAGTTGATAGAACTGAATCGTTCTCTTCCACTCTTGACTTCCGCCTCGACTAACACTTTGATGAGAAACTCTTTAATGTCAGAGAAGTCAATCAAGCTGACGGTGGTGGACTATGGAGTTTGATACTTCCTGTAAACTACCTCATCTGCATAAAAAGGACTGTCAAGATGCAAGAGAGACTTTCAGTCGCAAATCTCTCAAATGTGTCCTCAAAACAGTTCAGTTTAAAACGGTTTCAATTACATTGTGGTTGAGCAAAGACTATTCTGTTTCAAGAAGTTGACATCTGTGCACACTGGACATCCTGTGAATACAGAAAGTGAAATGAGGGCACAGAACATTTAGGCTCTGTGTAACTTTTATTTATAACATACACTTTCCAAAAATAGGGTACACTCATTTGTGGAAAGTGGCATACAATGTTTAATAAATACTATATCAATAATGTGAAATAATGTAATAAATAATATTATTTATATGTAACACATTTGTATTTTACCTCTTGTTCTTTGCACCTACAATAAATTGATCTTACTTAGCTATAGTTGTTTTATCAATGTCCATGTTTCACAGTTTCAAATATGAACATTTACATATATTAAAATTATTTGTGTATAACAGATTTATTATATAAATATGTCATCTTCAAACTACAGAACCCATCAAGCCAAGGAACAACCAGATGATCGGAAATATGTAGTTCTTCTTAGCTAAACAAGATCACTTGCAAGAAGGAGGGCCGTTATCATGGAGAACTACAAGTACCACAATGCATAGCGGCTCTACGTGTCATCAAGCAAACATGGCTGCGTCCTAAAAACATTAATGGTTTTCTACTCAGATTTCAATTTTTCCATTATTACTACTAACAGACTGGTCGAATTCGAATGAAACAGATATACAAGCCTATAGGATAAGACTTATCTGTAAATGGTGTTCAATTGTTATTTTCTCAAATATTATCAGGATAATATGGAAGCCCATTTTTACCTTGGATTAAAAAAAATTGAGAAAAGGTAATTTTTCTCAAAATGAATATCTTACAATTGAGTTACAAGAATTACAAGATATGCAAACAGAATTCTGACTGACTTTTTCGCAATTCTGAGTTTACATTTCACAATTGTTTTATTATTATTATTATTATTATTATTTGTGTTTCCATCACGGTATAAATAACAATTATAAAAAAAAAAAAAGATCTCACAATTCTGACATTTTTCTCACAACTGCGAGTTTATATCTCACAATTCGGACTTTATCGCTCACAATTCTGGCTTTTTTCTTATAATTCGGAGGGAAAAAAAGTCCAAAAAGAAATATAGTCAGAATCGCAAGAAAAAAAAATCATAATTATGAATTATTAAAAAGTGACCTTTTTATTTATTTTTATTTTATTCTGAGGAAGAAACGGGCTTCCATATGATTACAGTATAACAGTGCTATAAACTATAATGAATATTGCAGCAAATGAAGATAGATTTCTTCTTCAGTTTTATTGTTTTTGTCCCTGATAGATGGCAGGGATATGAGGGCTTTGTTCCTGTCCATCGGTTGCCTACTATTGGATGCAGTGACTGGGAGTTCTTTACCTCAGCAGAGGGTTCATACCTGATGTACTCCAGTGCCAAAGCACCTCTCTCCAAAGTCTTCAAGCTGAGGATCCACTGAGGGCACAAACAATAGTTCAGTTTTTGCTTATTTTTACCACATGCCACAGAAGTTGATAGAACTGAATCGTTCTCTTCCACTCTTGACTTCCGCCTCGACTAACACTTTGATGAGAAACTCTTTAATGTCAGAGAAGTCAATCAAGCTGACGGTGGTGGACTATGGAGTTTGATACTTCCTGTAAACTACCTCATCTGCATAAAAAGGACTGTCAAGATGCAAGAGAGACTTTCAGTCGCAAATCTCTCAAATGTGTCCTCAAAACAGTTCAGTTTAAAACGGTTTCAATTACATTGTGGTTGAGCAAAGACTATTCTGTTTCAAGAAGTTGACATCTGTGCACACTGGACATCCTGTGAATACAGAAAGTGAAATGAGGGCACAGAACATTTAGGCTCTGTGTAACTTTTATTTATAACATACACTTTCCAAAAATAGGGTACACTCATTTGTGGAAAGTGGCATACAATGTTTAATAAATACTATATCAATAATGTGAAATAATGTAATAAATAATATTATTTATATGTAACACATTTGTATTTTACCTCTTGTTCTTTGCACCTACAATAAATTGATCTTACTTAGCTATAGTTGTTTTATCAATGTCCATGTTTCACAGTTTCAAATATGAACATTTACATATATTAAAATTATTTGTGTATAACAGATTTATTATATAAATATGTCATCTTCAAACTACAGAACCCATCAAGCCAAGGAACAACCAGATGATCGGAAATATGTAGTTCTTCTTAGCTAAACAAGATCACTTGCAAGAAGGAGGGCCGTTATCATGGAGAACTACAAGTACCACAATGCATAGCGGCTCTACGTGTCATCAAGCAAACATGGCTGCGTCCTAAAAACATTAATGGTTTTCTACTCAGATTTCAATTTTTCCATTATTACTACTAACAGACTGGTCGAATTCGAATGAAACAGTCGAGTTTAAAAAGGCTATTTATTGAATACGTTAGCGGTCTAATAAAACGAAAGAAATAATGAGGCTGTCAACGAAAAAAATAGTTCTTTTATATCTCAATGGTGAAATATGGAAGCAGTGCAGTCACCTCTCAGATTTCCACTTTGCGTTTTAAAGACCGAGATTTACAGGCGACACCTGTGATTCATCCAGAGGAACGTCACGACACTTAAACGGGGCGATAAGTTTAGTTCTTTTGGTTTATAAAGGCGATGTTTAGTCCTGTTAAGTCATCGTATTCCAGGGTGAGCCCATTGATTGTTAATCGGGAGCTGGGGAAGACAAAGATGAGATAGCAAGAGGTGAAACGCTTTCCTTTCACAGTAAACGAAACTCGGTTCACTGAAGAACGGGAGGTTTACCAAGACTAAGCTTTACAAGGCAGCAGCGGTCATGTTTGGAGATCTGTTTGAGGAGGACGGGGATGGCTTTTCCTCCTCTACACCTGGCACAGGTGTGAAGGGGAGAGAGTGTGAGCCTCCACCACCCAGAGGGAAAATCAAACTGTGCGGGATCAAGAATCAGGGTGGCACATGTTACCTCAACTCCCTGATCCAGACTCTACTCTTCACCCCAGAGTTTAGGGGTAAGATGGGCTGAAAAAGACATTCTGATGTTTCATCACTATTTAAAGAATTAGTTTGTCAAAAATTAACGTTCTGTCATCATTTACTTACTTCTGAAGAGAATTCTGGCCTCTCTAATCAATATAATTAGTTATGAGCGCTTTCGAAACTCTGCTTGATGAAGCTTCGAACTTTTATGAATCTTTTGATTCGAATCAATTCGAAGCTAGGGAAATTTCGATCGGTGTGTGTGTGAATCATTTTCGAAGCAACTGGTTCAATTGCAGTTGGTTCATCACCACTACATATAATGTAAGTTAATGAGGACTGGTTCTATCAATCTCCAAAACGCCCAAATAAAGTCTGAATTTCTAGGGTTAGCTTTCATGAGAGACGTAGCGATTCTAGCGACTCGATGCGTGAATTCATTGAATCGGTTGATCCAGTTGATCCAGCGAATCGGATTCGAGTTCAACTCTTAAGATTTCTGTTAGCGATTTTGGCTTGTTTGTCCAACGAAGATCTTGATAAATTCAGAATTCAAAAGACTTGAATATAGCGTAGGGTCATATGAACCACTTTTTATTCTTTTATAATTACTTTTCTGTAAGTTTGAAACTTGACAGCCCAATTCCTGATTCACTTTATATGGATGGAGTGACCAAGATACACTTAAAAAACATCAGGTTTTTGTATTCTGTGTAAAAACAAAGCCATACAGTGTTGGGACAACATGAGAATGACAGAATTTTCATTTTGGGGTGAATTAATTTTTTATAGTGTTATGGCATAAAATCATCTCTTGCAGAGGAGCTGTTCCATCTCGGACCAGATGAATTAGGATGTCTGGCTGACAAGGACAAACCAGAGGCAAAGGTGTGTATGAATGTGTGTAAGAGAGGGATGAACAGAAGGCTCTATAAGTGTTTCAGAGGACCAGATGAATAGATGTTTCTTGTTCTGTGTGATCTCAGGTCCGTGTGATTCCTCTGGAGCTTCAGAGACTGTTTTCTCATCTGTTGCTGGTGGATGAAAAAACAGCCTCCACATCAGATCTGACGGACAGTTTTGGCTGGACGAACAATGAGGTACAAAGTCTTTGTGATCTTTAATTACTGTCCATTTAGCAGGTATGTTTCATCTAACAGTGACTGATTGCAAAGACAGACCCTTTGTAATCTGGGGTTAAATGGTTCCCCAGGGTCGCATGGGTCACTTTGGGTAATAGAATCTATGATGCAACTTAATTATCTTGCTCAAGGCAAAATCAGGAACCGTTCATTTTGCTACTACACCTTTAAGAAATCCCCCCTTCCTCCTTCCTCCTCCAGAGCTTTACTCTGGTTTGAGGAGTCAAAATGTGTATTTGTAGATCAAACAGTGGCTTGGAAAACAAACAGTTTCCACATAAAGAGTCTGGTTAAAGTTAAACTGAAATGATCAGGCAGCTTGTTAAAATCTTTCGTCTTCTGTTTTGATTTCGTCTTTAGGAAATGGGTCAGCAGGATGTGCAGGAGCTGAACCGGATCCTGTTCAGTGCTCTGGAGAGCTCATTAGTAGGCACTTCAGGCAGCAGTCTCATACACCGGCTGTACCATGGGACGCTTGTCAACCAGATCACCTGCAAAGAGTGCGGCAATATTAGTGAGAGACAGGTCAGAAAGGAGAATGTTCCCTCCTGTGTTTCTCTACTTATTTTTGCTTCCAGCAGTCCAATTTGTGACCACTTTAAATATAACCAGCAGAAAAACAGTGCATATTTATTATTTATGATACACCATGTGAAAGAAATTAATAATTTTATTTAGCAAGGACACATTCATTCGACCAAAAGTCACAGTAAAGACATTTATGATGTTACAATTGATTTAAATTTTAAATAAATGCTGTTTTCAACCAAAACAACTGTTTTCAACATTGAAATGTTTCTTTAACACCATATCAGCATATTAGAATGATTTCTGAAGGATCATATGACACTGATGTTTTAACTTCCTTGCTATCACAGAAAAAAATTATGTTTTAAAATATATTAAAATAGAAAACAGTTTTTTGGGATTATAATAATATTTCACGTTATTACTGTTTTTACTTTATTGTTTTTAAAATAAATGCCTTGATGAGCATAAAAGACTCTTACTGCCCCCAAACCTTTCAACAGTTGTGTATGTCTATTTACTATATGCATCTCACTATCTTTCTGTTCTCTCAGGAGGACTTTCTGGACTTGACCGTATCAGTGCGTGGTGTAAGTGGCCTAGAGGAGGCGCTGTGGAACATGTTTGTGGAGGAGGAGATGTTTGAGGGTAACAATCTGTACCGCTGCAGCAGATGTGACCAGCTGGTTAGGGCCGCTAAGGTCAGTCACTTCTCAGAACTCAAACTCTTTTTATCTGAGTTAATACTGTTAATTTGTCCTTCGAGGCCTTACACAATGGAGATTTTTTGCAAAATCTCCAATTAGATATTTATTTAAAGGGGTCATGTCTTTTTTATTTTTTCATTATTTACCCTAGGTATACTACTGTTCAAAAGTATAAGGTCTGTAAGATTTTTTTTCATGTTTTTGAGTTTCCTCTTTTATGCTCACCAAGGCTGCATTTAACTCATTAGAGATACAGTAAAAACAATAATGTTTTGAATTATTGTTACAATTTAAAATAACTGTTTTCTATTTTAATATAATGGAAAATGTAATTTTTCCATGTGATGGTAAAGCTGAATTTTCAGCATCATTATTCCAGTCTTCAGTGTCACATGATTCTTCAGAAATCATTCTAATATGCTGATTTGGCGTTTGAGAAACATTTCTTATTAAAGTTGTGCTTAATATTTTTGTGAAAACCATGTTGCATTTTTTTTTCAGGATTCTATAGATATAGTTATGGGTCAAGGAAATTTGATTTCTCATGTTACATGATCCCTATTAACATGTGCACTAAGCCATTATTCTAGATACTAATTCAGATGAGTCGACTATAGTTGGTTATAAAACTTCTTAATTTTGTCTTTTGTTGCAGTCTGCAAAACTGAGAAAACTTCCACCATTCCTGACCATTTCCTTGTTGAGGTTCAACTTTGACTTTGCCAAGTGTGAGCGCTACAAAGAGACCGGGAGCTACGCTTTTCCTCTTACATTCAACCTCAGACCATTTTGTGAGCAGGTACCAGAGCTGAATCACACGCAAATACATTTTCCAAACTCTCCAGCCAAGTAAGATAAATCTGTGTTAATAGTGAAGATTCTACACTGAACAGAGTATGATATCTGGTCATGTTTTGTAGAATGCACTGCAGGATCAGAGTTACCATCCTGTTAGCAGCTGTTGAGAACCTTTAGATTGTTATCCCAGATTCATCAAGCAGAGACTAACTTTTTAATCGCTAGTAAACTAGAAGCACAGGTCTAGAGGGAGAGCTAAAATGACCACAGCAACTCAATTTCAAAGCAGAGGATTAACACGTGTTGTGCTTCTGACAGAACAATTGGCCAGACTCAGAGTATTCGTACGAGCTCTTCTCCATCATCATACATAAAGGAGGTTGTTATGGAGGTCATTATCATGTCTACATCAAAGACATCGATCAGCTCGGCTACTGGGAGGCACCGGTTAGTCTTTTGTTTTTTATTGCAGTGTCTATGTATGGTTAGATGACAGGTAATTTCTATTTGTGATTTTTTTTTTCTTAGGAGGAAGAGGTAAAAGTGAAGCCGAAAACCCAGAAACGAGAGGACAAAGTCGGAGAAAGAAAGAAAGAGAGTGAAAATTCTGTTGACGAAGAGGATCCTCTCTCTGTACTTACTGGCATTCTGGCGGTCTGGTTTCTACAACTTTAACTTTGGAGCAAAAATCTGGCTTTAAAGTTGAAAGAAATAATGATTTGACATTTATCATATAATTATTGATATCGACTGCTATGAAAAAGTTACCATGATCATTTTTTTGGCCATATCACTCAGCCCTAGTTTAGATTTCTGAAAAACAAAATGTATCAGGGTTTTCATAAAAATATGAAGCAGCACAACTATTTTTGACATTGATAATAATATGAAAGCAGCAAATCATCAAATTAGAATGATTCCTGAAGGATCATGTGACACTGAAGACTTTGCAATTACAGGAATAAATTACGTTTAAAAATATATTCCAATAGAAAGCACATATTTTAAACATTTCATTAATGTTTTTACTGTGTTTTAGATTAAAATGCCTTGGTGAACTTGAGACTTTAAAAAAAAAAAACATTATAAAATCTTACCAACGCCAAACTTTTCAGCAGTAGTGTACATGATTACTGATTCTGGGTGATTATTTACAGTATGACTCTTGTGTTGTTTCAGATGACCAGATATCCCTGTATAGTGCAGGTGTGTCTAATGGCTCTGATCTCTTTGTGTGGAATGGAAGAGAGGTGGGCATTTACTTCATCAGTGGTCATATGGATTTATTATGAAATTGATAATGTGAACCTCTCTCAGAACTGGTCCATGTTTCCACTGAGTTGAGAGTTGGATACTGATGTTACTGACTACATAATTTGCCCCCAAACAAACATGGTGCCTCCTGATCATGGTTTATAAATCTTACTCCTAGTTTTGAGAACAGCCAAAGCTATTTAATTTAGCACCTTTTTGCAGCGCATAACAGTAGAGTAAATTTTTCTGGTCCGGAACCGCCATTTCTTCATGTAATGAGCCAGATCAGGCACCGCCTTTGACATTGGCATCTTGTTGGTGGAAAAGAGATGTATTGTGGATTGCAATCTAAAACCGTTAGAGCCAAATTGATGTTTTCCTTTTTCTCTCTTTTTCTTTTAGGTCAATGGTGTGGCGGTGAAAACTGGCGTTGAATGGGAGCCTGTTTTGCTGACTGTGTTGCGTCCCTCTGCAGAGGAGCTGGGATGTGGGGATGGGTCAGGGGTTGGAGACGCTGATGGATCCGGTCTGGTGCATTCTATGAAGGGCTTTGCTGGTGGGGCCACTCTGGGTACAGTGCTCGAGGCTCTAGGGCCCCAAGAGGCCTTTTTGTGCCAGGAGCAGAGCCGTCCAGGGGCCAGTGGGGGCGGGGCGAGTGGTTGGAGGGTTTTCCCACCTCAGGACATGCAGAGAACACTGAGAGAGTTGTCTCTGAAGGACGGGGACGCTCTGCTGCTGCTGCAGCTAGAGGAACTAGACAGCAGGTAAAGAATGCAATTCCACAACTCTCGATACCATTTTTAACACAGCACTTTTTAAGTATATAAGTTAAAGGGTTAGTTCACCCAAAAATGAATGAAAATGTGTTTTGAAAATGAGCGATGAACGATACGGACAAATTTGTTCAGTTAAATAAACATTTCTTCAAAAAAGACAAGTGAACAGTCAGTAATAAAATAACGAGCAAAGAAATATAAAGTTATTTAGACATTTTTCTAATGATTATTGCTGTTTTATTATTATTATTGAGATTTATACAGCCTATAAATGTTTAAAAATTGCTTAACTTGTCTTATGTAATTACTAGGGGTGCAACAGTTCTCGGTAAAAAATCGAACCGTACCGTTCTCCACACACGGTTCGGCATGCACTAGGACCGCGGTTCAACTTAAATCTGACAATGCATCTGTAATATGGTTTGTTAGAGTTCGGCTAATGCATGTTTCTGTTGATGGATACAAATTCTGGCTTCCCAATACATTACAACAAGAGCGATGAGAGAGAGAAAAAAACAATACGTGGACAAACCAATCACTCTTTAATCAATGCGAGTGCTTTATGCTGGAATAACTGTCATTTATGCCGTCATCACGTGTTGATAGCGCAGGTGAGACCTGAACAGCACTCGCTGCTATCTGTTTAAACTATACTCATTTAAGC